GAGAGAGCGTGAGAGAGAGAGAGCGCGCGTGCGCGCGCGCACAAGCAGGGGGAGGGGCAGGCAGAGGGAGAGGGAGAAGCAGACTCCCCACTGAGCAAGGAGCCCAACCCGGGTCTCAGTCCCAGGACTCCAGGATCATGACCTGAGGCGAAGGCAGACGCTTAACCGACTAAGCCACCCAGGCTGCCCCTCTTCTGGTTCTTTTCAAGAGAAGTTTGTTCTTACCTACTAGGACAACTTAACCAGATCCTAAATTAGCACGCATCTTAAAGAGGGCTCTCTTTCTCAGGAGGCAAAGAAAACTTGAAAATGCATTTCTAAGACTACGTAACTCACCTGGTCCGTTAAGCTGTTGGGAATAACTGTTATGACAAGTAAAGTGTGCTTTACCACGGGAAGGCAGAAGAATGTGGTTTATGTAGCAAGTATGGTACTAAGTGTCCCCGAAGAGGCAAAAGTAGCATTCTGCCTTGGCCCCTTGGGAGCTGGGGGGCCTGCCCGGGACCATGGGGAGGGCTCCCAAGATAGAGCAGCTGGGGTGATTCCCCCTGGAGAAGAGAAGGCTAGGATATAGAGAGATTCCAGGTTCTGAAAGGGGGCAGCCAGCAAGATGGTGGTCCTTAATAATGAGGAGCTGAAGGGTGTGACTCTGGGGTGTTGGGCAGAAAGCCCCGGTCTAGTCCTCTCTGGCGACGGCTATGGGAAACAGCAGATGCTGTGGAATCAGACATATTTGGCTCTAAATTCTGAATCCTTATGTGATTTGATGCAAGTTTCTTAGCCTCTCTAAGCCTCAAATTCATCAACCTCAAACGAAAAGTAAAAAAGAGCTAAAGACTATGTAGATGAAGTGCCTGGAACATCGTGGGCCGTCAGGACGCACGCGTTTCCTTCTCTTCCTCCTCTGATCTGTTATTCTAAGATCACCAGTGTTAACCCAGAGCCTTTTGTTCCTCTGTGCTCCTCCAGGTGACTGGCACCAGCTGGCGGACCGGTGGGTGATGGTGTCTCTGATGCAAGGCCGTGAGTACCCCAGCAGGAGAGGAGGCTTTCGGGAGACAGCCCAGGGATGGGGAGGCGGGGAGGAGTCTGGACCCCTGTTCAAGAGCTCCTCCTGGGCCCTCCACCCTTCCCGCCGGCTACCCAGCCAGCCCCTTCTTCTCCTGGCCCAGGGCTGCCCATCAATCAAGACTTGCTGCTGATGCAGAAGGGCATGCTGATGCGCAAGGTGAGGTCCAAAAGCTGGAAGAAACTGAGATACTTCAGACTTCAGGATGATGGCATGACAGTCTGGCATGCCCGGCAGGCGGGAGGCACTGCCAAGCCCACCTGTGAGTCACGTGGACGGCTAGGCGTGGGTGTGGTGGGGGGATCGGACTCTGAAGAGCCCAGGTGCTTGAGAGCAGGGGAGGGAACAGGGTCCTACAGTGTATCAGTTACTGCACGTAAAAGGCTTAGGAGTGCCCTGGCACATAATAAGGCTCAATAAATCCTAGGTTACATTTATTATTATTATAGTGAGAGCATGATCTCACGCATCAGACTACCTGGATCAAAGCCCTGGCTCTGCCACTTTCTAGCTGAGTGGCTTTGGACAAGTTACATTAAGCTTCAGTTTCCTCATCTGCAAAATGGGGATTGAATAGTACCTGCTAGCAGGTTGTTACAGAGACTCAGTAAGTTAATGTACAAAGCACCTAGCGTGGCACCTGAAGCCAGGATGCATTTCACAAATTAGCCACTATGATGCCTATTTTTAAATATCACAAATGCAGCACAACAGTGTGCATCCTGTTGGCCAGACGCTTTATGACCCCTCCAAAAATGTGATCACAGGACACATCTGAGAGAGTCCGCTTTAGAGACATAATCAAAGCTCACGATCCACAGCACCCCCAGCTGAGGGGAAGGGGGTGGAAGAATTTCTCTGGTGCTTTCTTAGACACCTGGAAAGAGGAGGTCCTCAAACCTGGAACGGGGAAATTGAACTTGGACATATCATGCTTTGGTGTAACCGCTTCTACCTTTAAGTGTGTTTCCATCCCGTCAGCCCCGCCGGTGGTCACCATGTGGACTGGCCATAGAAGGGACTATCCCCTATTTCAGACGAGGGTACTGAGGGGTTAAGTCATTTTGGTCTGTGTCCCACTGCCAGCCAGTGGCCCGAAGCCAGGTCTTGCTGCTCCCAGCCTGGGCCCCTTGGCATGCGGCCTCTGAACATGGCAGCGACTCATGGGGAATCCTGAATCCCAGGGGTCTGCATCTCCCCATACCCAATCTTTGGGGGTTTCATCCTGCGGAGGGAGGTTGGGGTTCCTCCTCCCTATGGCTCCTTAAAGGGTCCCTGACCCTTCACCCCTGCAACTTGGCGGACTCTCTTCCCCCTGCGCCCCCCTGTTTCCTCTCTGGTAGTCTCTATCTCTGATGTGGAGACGGTGCGGGAGGGCCACGAGTCCGAGCTGCTGCGGAGCCTGGCAGAGGAGCTCCCCCTGGAGCAGGGCTTCACCATCGTCTTCCACGGCCGCCGCTCCAACCTGGACCTGGTGGCCAACAGCGTTGAGGAGGCCAAGATATGGATGCAGGGGCTCCAGGTTTTGGTGGACTTTGTTACCGGCATGGACCAACAGGAGCGGCTGGACCAGTATCAGCAGGATGGAGTCAGAGGTGGGGCCAGGGGTCACTGAAGGAGCCAGATGCTGCAGGGCTAGAGACGGGGTTGTGGGGGGGGGGTTGGCATGCTGCGCTAGGGAGGCCTAAGAGTCCAGATGGGGTGGGCAAGGACAGCTCAGGCCACTGTGAGGCAGAGGATATTGAAGGTGTAATGGAGGCTTGGGATGACAAAGACATAACCAGGCAGAGAGTAGGCAGAAATCAGGCCCTTCAGGACTGGTGGGAGGGATGGTGCAAGGCAAAGGACCAAACAAGGTGCTGATCTTGAGAGCTGAACAGAAGATCCCAGTGGCATTAGCTACTGTAGGACTGGGAAGCAGAACTTCGTGGTGTTGACTCATTCAGGTTTCCTAGATTGTATTCACTTTCCATGCCAGGTCGTTCATTCATTTGTTCGTTTGTTCATTCATTCACCATCTATTGAGCAGAAGGTATCAGGCACTGTGCCAGGCTTTAGAGGTACAAAGATTAATGAGACTCAGGCATTGTTTTGGTCGGTGGAGAAAATGGAATTGTGTAAATCATCTAAGTACCCTAGAAGTGTTATGGGACTGAAATTATTTGTGGGTGTTCAAAGGAAGGAGAAATATTTAATTCTAGCTGAGAGAGTTCTGAGAAAAACATCAGGGAGGAAGTTGAATTGGAGCTGAGCCTTGAAAAGGAGTAGAACTTGAACATAAAGAAAGGAGGCAGAAGGCTCTCCTGCCTGAGGGAACAGCATGAGAAAAGTCTCAGAGATAGGACATTGAAGAGCAGGAGGGAGAGTCTGGCTAAAGTACAGGGAGGACAGAGGTGTGTTGAGAAGGCTGCGTGGGGGCCAGATCGTGGGGGTGAAGACCTTCAATCTACGTTAAAAAATTTGGGCTTCTTTCTGCAAGCAACAGGGAGGACCCTGCAGGCACCTGAGCCATGCAGGGACAAGACAGATTGGTGCTCGGGGGGAGATTATTCTGGAAGCTAATATGGAAAATGCATTGGCATGGAGGAGATAGGGGAGACAATGTCAGTGGATGAACATGCACACACATCTGCACACACAAACACACACAGTGCTTTTGCCTTAACTCACACCTGGATGGCTGAGTGACTGGTTCCAGCGTGGAGACAGGAACCAGGATGGTCGGATGAGTTTCCACGAAGTCCAGCGTTTACTGCACCTGATGAATGTGGAAATGGACCAAGAATATGCCTTCCAGCTTTTCCAAGTGAGTGTTTTGGGGAAGGATTTTCAGAAGCCAGCCAAGGCCATGTTCTCACATGGCCAGATGTACCTGACCCTATCCAGCATCACTCTTTGTTGAATCTCTCCTATATGCCCTACCACTATGCCAGGCTCGATGGAAAGTGTAAGGCATGGTTCTCACCCTTCAGTCTTCTTAGAAAGACGATTCATAGTCTTATGAAGGGTAAACAACCATTCGTTACTGTGTCAGACCTCAAGGACCTCTCTGTTCATGGCCAGAACTTCCCACGTGCCTAGTAACAATGGAAAAGTCCAACTGGAATGTGAATAAAATAGGAGGAGGGATCTTTTAAACTTTTAGGCACTTGTTGGGGCATTTAACCCTTTCTGATTGAAATTTTTCTCTAGTAGCAAATGGTACGGCTGCCATTTTGCTTTTTACTTACCGAAGCGGCTTCTATGAACACAAAGTGTCAGGAGTTCTGGGAGAATTTTGCAGAAAGATGTTTGTATCCACCTGTCGGCAAGATTGCCCTTACAGGACGGGTCAAAGCCATACAATGTGCTCTTAAAAGGATTTTTCCACCATCCTCTAAACCCTTGCTTGCAGGCAGCAGACACATCCGAGTCTGGGACTCTGGAGGGAAAAGAGTTTGTAGAGTTCTATAAGGCGCTGACTAAACGTACTGAGGTGCAAGAGCTGTTTGAAAACTTTTCGGCTGATGGGCAGAAGTTGACCCTGCTGGAATTTGTGGATTTCCTCCAAGAGGAGCAGAAAGAAGGAGAGCGAGCTTCTGACCTTGCTCTGGAACTCATCGACCGCTATGAGCCCTCAGATAGCGGTAAGAGGGCTAGGGTGGAGAGGCACTGGGCATGGGCGAGGAGGGGGACCTTAGAAAGGTCCAGAGACAAGCCACCTTCTGCCTAACTCAGGGAAGGCTGAGCCCATGCCTACCCCAGCCCCTGTGGAAGCATCTTCATCTCATTCAACCCCTGGGAAGGGGAGCAGCAGTTTCCCGCCCAGATAAGACAGGAGTCTCCTCCGTAATGCTGTATCTCTCAGGAGGAAGAACAGTCCACAAGTCTCCTTTCCTCCACTATGCTCATGCTTCACTTTCAGAATAAGTTCGTCCTGATGTCAACGGTTGTCCCCAGTGGAAGGAGAGATCCGTGGTCCTCTCCCTTCGGCTTCTTCTCTTCTAGTGCCTAATTCCTTTGCTTCCAGCTCTCTTCATGGTTCCTGTTTGCTGTCTCTTTAAATGCTGGCTCTCTGCCACTTCCTGGGCTTTCTCCAAATTCTCCAAGTGGTTCTTGAGTGGCTAAGCCTCTGGGCCAGGAAGCTAGTCAGTCCCTGGCTGAGGGGGATGAAGAGGAGGCTTTCTTTTAGCAAGCACAGCTCAAATATGCCCTCTGTCTTCAGCCCTTTCTCCTTGCCCCTTTAATAGACATTGCCCTGCCCTCCATTCCCTTCAGAATACGAGGAATTTACATTAATAATAAATGATTTACAAGGTACTTTCACATCACTTACTTCCTCTAGCCCTCACTACGATCTTGTAAATCAGGAGCATAATCCTTATTCAGCCTCTGCTAAGTATCCCATTAATGTGCTAACATTTCTACATGTCTTTTCTCATCATTCCGATGACCAGTTGAAGTGGCTTCTGTTATTAAGTCAGTTGTGCAAAAGAGGAAAACTCGGGTTTAGAAAGATCAAATGACTTGCTCAAAGCCAAAGCCTAATGAGAGGAGGAATTGGGATTCAAACCCGGGTCACCTGACCCTTACCTAATACCTCTGTTGAGCATGAGGATTAGAGATGAGATGGATGAGAGGTGCCTGCGTGGTTCAGTCGGTTAAGCGTCTGCCTTCAGCTCAGGTCATGATCCCAGGGTCCTGGGATCTGAGTGCTGGATCAGGCTCCTTGCTTAGCGGGGAGTCTGTATCTCCCTCTCCCTCCACTCTTCTCCCTCTGCTCCTCCCCCCTGCTCTTGCGTTTATGCACTTGCTCGCAAACTCTCTCTCTCAAATAAATAAAATCTTAAAAAAAAAGAGAGAGAGAGATGAGATGAATGAGAGCTGGACAAGTGACCCACATTTCCTAGGTCTCAACTCCTACTCCTTTTATTCATTCATTCACTCACTACTTCAGCTAATGCTTATTGAACCCCTGTAATGGGCCAGGACTTTTGCTCAGCCCCAGAGATACAGCAGAAGGTCCGACAAGAACGCTGCCCTCATGGAACTGAGACTCAAACAGAAAGGGTTGGAATCCCTGATTCCAGATTCATGTCTGTGCTCAGAGGAGAAAGGGGGCTGTAAAGCAATCATTTCAGAAAAATAAATAGAAGAAGAATGCCTAAGGGTTAAGAAATAGGATCTTCTTTTTTTTAAGATTTTATTTATTTACTTGACCCAGAGAGAGAGAGAGGAATCACAAGTAGGCAGAGCGGCAGGCAGAGGGAGAGGGAGAAGCAGGCTCCCTGATGAGCAGGGAGCCCAATGCAGGGCTCGATCCCAGGACCCTGGGATCATGACCTGAGCTGAAGGCAGACACTTACCTGAGTGAGCCACCCAGGTGCCCCCTTCTATCTCCAGTGCAGGATCCAGTAGACATCAGTTACATTTATTCTACCACCTGCCCCTCTGGGTGGTGTTCCCTCCCCTGCTCTCAACTGGCTGCAGAGGATAGTCTCTGCCAGGAAACCCGGGCTCAAGGCCCCAATCTGCTGCTTACTAACTGAGTCACCCTGGGCAAGCTGCTTAATCTAGTGGGGGCTCAATTTTCTCATTTGTAAAATAATCGGTGATCAAATGAAATGACATACATGAAAAGTATCTGGCAACTGTGGATTTTCTCTCGCAATTTAAGTTCTTACTGTTAAGAATAAAACTTCCTGCCTGACTTCCTGCCGCTCTCCACCATCTGTAGCCTTGTCAAAGCGGGAGCAACGAAGCTGGGCATTAGAGTCGAGTTGCTCCACCTCCCACGGGAGGCCCCCTGCAGCAGTGTTGCCCTCAGTGAGACTGCACGGCCCGGTGGGACTGGCGTGGCTCAGACACCTGACGGCCGGGGTTCAAATCCCAGCTCCTTCACTTACTAGTTATGTTACCCAACTTCTCAGGGCAGATTATATTCTATCTGCCTCATCACGTTGGCGAGAACATTAAGAGAGGTGCTGCACGGGACGTCCTGGGCACAGAGCAAGTGCTCAGCACTAGTCGCTCAGTACTAGTACTAGATATTGTATGAAGCCCATGCTGATATGGGTGAGAGCTGTGGCAGGAGTGAGGGGGCCCTGCCCTCAAACAGAGGGTGTATTGTAGTCCAGGGGTATATTGGACGACCACTCTGCAGAACACCATATGGGAATTGATGATAGGAAGAAACCCTCAGGTCATAGTTGGCATCAGCTTCACAGCCCAGGGAATAAAACACAGGTACCTTGGTCGTGTTGCTAAAGAGTCTTCGACTTTGTTCCTCTCTGGGCTCAGTTTCCCTATATATAAAATTAACCCTTTATACTGAATACTATGCTGTCCTTTATGGTAACCATGAGCTCTTTGTGACTATTTTTTAAAAGTTTTTTTTTTTTTTACGATTTTTATTTATTTGAGAGAGAGAGAGAACTTGAGTGTGGGGGCTCACATGAGCAGGGGGAAGAGCAGAGGGGGAGGGAGAGGGACAAGTGGACTCCAGGCTGAGTGCAGAGCACCGAGCCCGATATGGGGCTCAGTCCCACAACTCCAAGATCATGACCTGAGCTGGAACCAAGAGTGGATGCTCAATTGACTGAGTGAGCCACCCAAGCGCCCCACTGTGTGATTATTTAAATTTAAATTAACAGGGTCCTTGTGTGACTGTCAGTTAAGCTTCTGACTCTTGATTTTGGCTCAGGTCATGATCTCAGGGTTGTGAGACTGAGCCCCATGTTGGGCTCTGTGCTCAGCAGAGTCTGCTTGGGATTCTCTCTCTCCCTCGCCCTCTGCTCCTGGCCCCCCCTGCTCTTGCGCACGTGCACATGCATACGTGCTCTCTCTAAAAAAATAAATAGGGCGCCTGGGTGGCTCAGTTGGTTAAGCAACTGCCTTCGGCTCAGGTCATGATCCTGGAGTCCCGGGATCGAGTCCCGCATCGGGCTCCCTGCTCAGCGAGGAGCCTGCTTCTCCCTCTGACCCTCCCCCCTCTCATGTACTCTCTCTCATTCTCACTCTCTCAAATAAATAAATAAATCTTTAAAAAAATAAATAAAATCTTAAAAATAATAAAATAAATTTAAATTAACTAAAATTGGGGTGCCTGGCTGGCTCAGTTGGAAAAGCATGCGACTCTTGATCTCACTTTGGGTGTAGAGATTACTTAAATGAATAAATAAATAAAAACTTTCAATTAATTAATTAATTAATTAAAATCAAAATTTTAAATTCAGTTCTTCAGTCACACAGTCACATCTCAAGTGCTCAGTAGCCATATGTGTCTAGAGGCTGCCATACTGGACCGCACAGAACAGAACTTTTCCACCATTGCAGAAAGTTCTATTGGATACTAGTGAACTAGCATGATCTTAATGATTCTCCTCGTACCTTTAACTCTCTCTGAGGGTGGGGATGATTGAAATGACAGACAGTGGGTGGGGCACTTTTGGGATCTGGAGGCTGAGAATGGACACCATCTGAAAGGCAGGACCCTGGAGAGGGGCGAGGTGCAGGATGGGCTAGAGGTGTGCTGGGATGCCCTCGCTCAGAGCTTCTCACTCTAGCCTTCCCCTCTTCCACACCTTAGGCAAATTGCGACACGTGCTGAGCATGGATGGCTTCCTCAGCTATCTCTGCTCGAAGGATGGAGATATCTTCAACCCGACCTGCCTTCCCATCTACCAGGATATGACTCAACCCCTGAACCACTACTACATCAATTCCTCTCACAACACCTACCTCGTGGGGGACCAGCTTTGTGGCCAGAGCAGCGTGGAGGGCTATATACGGTGCAGTGGGAAAGAAGGGGAAAGGGCTCCAGCTCATGAGAAGGGGCCATCTGTTCTATCAGTGGATAACAGGGATTGAAAAGATGTTGTGGGGGGCTTGGGGCTGAGGACCCCTGGATACCTGAGAGACTTGGAAGAGATGTTGAAGACTGACAGGAGAGTAGTATTGAAATTCTATGGGTATATGGAGCTTCTCTCTCTTTCATAGGCTGTGAAACTCTCTTGGAACTCAGAGGTCCTGGAAGATTTATTTTGAACAAATAAACTAAACGTTACATGGAAGGCAGGAGAGCATAGAAGTTAGAATCATAGGTTCTGGAGTCAGACCATATGAGGTCAAATCCTAGTTCTCTCACTGGTACTCTGGTTCTAAGTATTTAACTTCTCTGTGTCTCAGTATCCCCATCTATGAAATAGGGATGATAACATTGCCTATTCTGTCTGAGCTGTTGTGAGGATTAAATGAGATAATCCATGTGTTAATAGCTAATAAGTGATATCTGCTTTTATTGTGATTAATCATGGATTGGATCGAGGAGTCAAGATATCTTTGTAGCGGCAGCAACTGAACTAGTAGTTTCAGGGTATAAGAGATGAGTGGAACATATTGCTTCTGCCCTAGGAAGTCTAGTCGAGAAAATAAAGTATAAATTTACTGAGAGTTTGAGGGGCGCCTGGCTGGCTCAGTCGGTAGAGCATGCAACTCTTGATCTCGGGACAACTCTTGATCTCGGGGTCATGAGTTCAAGCTCCATGTTGGGCATAGAGCTTACTTTAAAAACAAACAAACAAACAAACCGAATGACTGAGAATTTGACTAAGTCAGGTGTTGCGGAATGCTCTACAACCAGAACCCTAGAAGCACCATGAGGCAGTATGTGATGACTTGCTGAAGGAAGATGGTGAGTTGGGGAGGGTGGGGGGTGGAGGTAGTGAGCTGTAGCAGTATCTCGGTGGACAGAGAAGGGTCTGCGGAGATGTAGCTTGAGGGGGTCTTGACGACTAAGTGCCAGTGAGCACTGTTCTCTCCGGAGTGGGGAGAGAGTTCCTAGACGGATGATCAGACCTTGACCTCTCTGTCCCTGGGGGCTTGGGGTTCTTGCAGGGCCCTGAAGAGGGGGTGCCGCTGCGTGGAGGTGGATATATGGGATGGACCTAGCGGGGAACCTATCGTTTACCATGGACACACTCTGACCTCCCGCATCCCATTCAAAGATGTCGTGGCCACTGTAGCCCAGTACGCCTTCCAGGTAGGAGTCCCGGGATGGGCGTACTGGTGAGGGAAGGTGATCTGAGGGAAGAGTGGCTGGCTCTGCATCTGGTGAAGGTAGATGGATGCAGGGGAGGTTATGTCAAATGGCAGAGATGTACAAGAGATTTTAACTGTGAAGCATCAGGCAAATATTAAGGGATTATGAATAAGGGTTGGATGTGTCACTAGTAATTAGTAGTCCTAGAGGTAATTGCTAGAGCTCAGTGACTATTACTTCTAACAACTGTCACCCATCTCGGGGAGGGTGGTTAAGGAAACCGAGAAAGTGGTGGGTAGGGCTGGGGGAAAATAGGAGTCTGGAGAGGAGAGTGTAACATGAACACATAATCAGGGGAATGGCCTAGCCGTCCCATGCTGAGCCTGAAAACTCAAAGGTCCCAGAAGGACCTGGGTCACACCTAGTATAGGTCTGAGATTTGGGATCCCAACAGTGACTTTGAGCTGTGAGGTGGGCCCCAGACCCAGCAAGACCTCCTTGATGTCCAGAATCAGGGTACTCTGAGTGAGTCACCAGGGGCGGGGGGGTCCAGAGAAGCAGGGAGTTTGCATGCTTTAGACCTCTGGCTCTAGCGTTCCTTCCCTTCCCCATCAGACCTCAGACTATCCAGTTATCTTGTCCCTGGAGACCCACTGCAGCTGGGAACAGCAGCAGGTCATGGCATGCCATCTGACCGAGATCTTGGGGGAGCAACTGCTGAGCACTACCTTGGATGGGCTTCTGCCCACTCAGCTGCCCTCACCTGAGGTAGGCGCCCTGTTCCCCTAGCCCGGGCTCTGCTGTGGCTTGCATTCCCTCCCTACCGTGCCCCTCTGTGCCCCTCCTGTTCCCTTCTTCTCACCCTTACATGGACCATCTTGCTCTTTAATATCCTTGGAGACAATTTTAATTTTCAAAAAGTCCAATTCAATGCAGAATTGTTTATCGTTTTCTAAATTTGAAATCAATTGTTTACTTCTTATTTCTTTTTTCAATGGAAATATCTTGATTTTTTTTCCCGGATAGTTCATAGTTGTTGTAGACCGTACAGACAATAGAGAGAAAAGGAAATCCCCCCACCATAATCTCAACCTCTCCCATAACAGGTGTCAAGAGATTTTTGTAAATGCATATGTAAACATATATGTGTGTATATATTTGCACTTTAAAAAATGCTTGGGGTCATTTTCTATACCCCTTTTATATCTCACATACAATATACATCATGGATGTCTTTGCATGTATAATTTTTTTCCTTTTAATAGCTCTGTGGTAGTCCATTTTCTTTTATGAACCATTATTTATTCAACCAGTAAATGGTAAACATTCAGGTTGTTGGTAATTGTTCACTTGTACATACAGCTTTGTCCATCTACTCTTTCTTCTTTTTTTTTTTTTAAAGATTTATTTATTTGAGAGAAAGAGGGATAGAGAGCGCAAGCGTGCGGGGGTGGGTGGGGAGGGGCAGAGGGAGAGAATCTCAAGCAGACTCCCCGCTGAGCACAGAGCCTGACACGGGGCTCAATCCCACGACCCTGAGATCATGACCTGAGCCAAAATCAAGAGTTGGATGCTTAACCAAGTGAGCCACCCTGGCGCCCCGTTTACTCTTTCTTTGAGATGGATTCCTAGAAGTAAATTGCTGGGTTGAAGAGTTTGCATGTTGATATTTTGGTTATTACTGCCAAGTTGCCCTCTGGAAAAAAATACCAAATTGCACTCTGACCAACGATGTAAGAGACGGACCACAAATATCTCCAGTAGTAAGATGATTCACAGTGGCAAATGTGGGGGGAAAAAAGCCAAGTTTTTAAAAAAGAAAGGTCTATATTTTCTTCTTTTGAATTAATTGATATTATTTACCCACTTTTATTGGGGTTTATAATCTTTATTGGTATATAACAAGATTTAAATGTTAAAGACATTGATGCATTGGGAAATTTGTTTTTGCAGTCTTTGCTTTTGTCTTATAGCATCTTCTGCCCTATAGAGGATTTTAAGCTTTATGTAGTCAAATTGGCCAGTGCTTTTTATGTCTTCTGAGTTATCATCTCCTGTTTCTTTTCTTTTCTTTTCTTTTTTTGAGAGAGAGAGAGAGAGCGGCGGGGGTGGGGGCAGGCAGAGGGAGAGGGAGAGGATCTCAAGCAGACTCCTTGCTGAATGCAGAACCCAACACAGGGCTTGATCTCAGGAGGACCCTGAGATCATGATCTGAGCCAAAACCAAGAGTAGGACGCTTAACTGACTGAGCCACCCACACACCCCTCATTTCCTGTTTCTAAAGGCTTTCCCACTTTAAGATTATTCAAAAAGATTCTCTATTTTTTTTTAAAGATTTTATTTATTTATTTTATTTTATTTTAAAGATTTTATTTATTTATTTGACAGAAAAGATGACACAGCAAGAGAGGGAACACAAGCAGGGGGAGTGGGAGAGGGAGAAGCAAATTCTCCACGGAGCAGGGAGCAGGGAGCCAGATGCGGGGCTCGATCCCAGGAACCTGAGATCATGACCTGAGCCAAAGGCAGACACTTAACGACTGAGCCACCCAGGCGCCCCAAAAAGATTCTTTATTTTCTTCTAATACTCTTATGTCCTTTATATTTACATGTAAATCTTTAATCTGGGAGAAATCTCTCTGTGTCAAAAGTGAGGTATTTTTTGTTTTGTATTGTTTTCCAATTGGATAGAGATGTGACAAGTTCGCTTAACAGTAGGGAATCCCTACTGTATGTATCAAGCAGCCTCCCTGTGGGGACTTCTGACCACTCAGCTGCATGGCCCCCAGAGCAGACAGGTAAACAAGCCCCTTCATTTCTGTCTCCAGGAGCTTCGGGGGAAGATCTTGGTGAAGGGGAAGAAGTTAAGGACACTTGAGGAGGATCTTGAGGAAGAGGAAGAGGAGGAAGAGCTAGAGTCTGAACTGGAGAGAGAGCAGGAAGCTGACCCGGAGCTGGAGGCCCAGCTGGAGTCTGAGCCCCAGGCGTTGAGCCCATGCAGTAAGGACAAAAAGAAGGAGAAGGTGGGCCCGCAGAGTGGTCTTTCTGCTCTAGCATTTGGTCAGTCTGTATGATAAGCTGACTTCATGTGTGGAGAGGCTAGAGCCAGGCAGGGTGGAGGGCCGAGGAGCAAAATACCCCTTGCCCCCAGTAAAAGAGGTGTAAGGATGCGTGCATGACATCACGACATATTGTCATATGTAGATAGATTACAGTGGCTTTCCAACTTCTTTGGGCCATAGAATCATTTTTTAATGAAATCGTATTTGGGAGCCCTGTATACAAAAGGATCAATGCAGAGCCATCCTGGTTGAAGCACCCATTTGGCTCTCTCGGGTCCCCTGTTGGCTCCCGAGAGATCTTTGTACTTCTTCTCAGTCTCTTTAAATTAAGGCCAGTTTGAAAAACACTGCTGTGTGTGTGTGTGTGTATGTGTGTGTGTGCGCGCGCGCGCACGCGACAGAGGGAGAGAGAGAGTACACCCTGCACTGTTGTATTGGGGACGTATGGCTTACTGAAGTGACTGCTGTGACCTCATTTGAAATGGGCTTAGAGAAAGCTTCTTGGAAAAGGTGAGTCTGAGAAGGGGCCAGCAGTAGCCAAAAAGGAGGAGCAGAGAGTTGGGGAAGGTGAAGGCTCTAAGAAGACTGTGCCAAAGTGGTCGGGTCCACCTCCCTGTGGGGAAGGGGTGCCATTGGTGAGGCTGCCAAGGTCCTGGTCAGAAGTCTGCCTTTCTCCTTCTTGTGCGCTTCCCTGACTTAGCTAACTTCTAGCTTGTCCTCCCCTCTCCGGGGCTGTGGTGTCTAACCTGCTACCATGTCCGGGGAAGGAAATGGGAATTCAGAAGAATATAACGATATTACTCTGGGACCCTCACATCCTTCTGGTGCGACTTTCCTGGCCATTTGCGTACCTCGACATATCTGTCTGGGTTCATGTACATTTTGACCAAACCATACTATTAAATTGTTTTAAAAGATGAGAGGTAGGGAGGAGGACACCTCTCTGCTTAAAAGTAATCATTAAGAACCTGTTACCCAGAAATTAACAGTTGGACAGACCCTTTAAGCCCAGAGGCTGAAACCGATCCCATGAGGGTATGTAGACTGCCTTTATTCCCATTCCCATCCCCAGGTTGTGATGTGTCCGCTGTTTTGTCCACCTGTCTGTTGTGAGGTTGTGGTTCAGGCTCCTATTTCCAAGCCTGGGCCCCTTCTCTTTCCCAAGCAGGTGAGGCAGGAGGGAGAACGCAAAGGGGAGGCAGCGGGCAGAGGCTTAGGTTGGACGGGGAAATTCAGATCCTGGACATCGGTTCTTTCCCTCTCAGACCCCTGAGGGTTCAATTCCGTCTTCCTCTCTATTTTCTCCTTTTCCAGAGATCCAAACCCATCTTGTGTCCATCCCTCTCTGCCCTGGTTGTCTACTTGAAGTCTGTCTCATTCCACAGCTTCACTCATTCAAGGGAACACTACCGCTTCTATGAGACCTCATCTTTCTCTGAAACCAAGGCCAGAAGCCTCATCAAGGAGGCTGGTCAGGACCGAAAGGGAGGGCCAGGGAGGGCAGTGGGATGGGTAGGGTCAGGCTGCTGGGCAGGCACATGAGTCCCGAGAAAGAGGACCAAGGGGCTGAGGGCGGCTGAGGGAGCTAAGCGGCTCCTCAGAGCAGGTACAGGGTCAGGAGCTCTGAGCAGTGCGCTCAAAGCTCCAGGGGGAGGAGAGCTGGGGGAGACGGTCAGCATGGAACAGACAGGCACAGTGAGGCTTTCTGAGCCTGGCCTCAGGAGATGCTGGGGACAAGAGTCCAGTGGGTAGGTGGTGTACCTGAGGCCAGGGAAGTGGGGGGGTCCACCTCCTTGTCATCTCCCCACCATGCCCTTTATACAGGCAATGAGTTTGTGCAGCACAACGCCTGGCAGCTCAGCCGCGTGTATCCCAGTGGCCTGAGGACAGATTCGTCCAACTACAACCCCCAGGAGCTCTGGAACGCAGGCTGCCAGATGGGTGAGGGGGTGGCAGGGACAGGGAAGAGGGAGTGGAAGGGCAACATGGGGGGGTTACCTGCCCCGGTGGCAGGAGGGCCAGGGGATGCTTTGAAGGGTGCTAGGTGAAGAAAGATGCAATCTGGGTGGGGGGTGTTCCCAGCAGGCCCTTTTATACCCAATTCATCTCCTTCGTTCCCTGAAAGAGGGGCTAGAGGGCTCCTGAGATGTATGCTTCCCTTCCTTTCTCCTGGGGCCTGCAGTGGCCATGAATGTGCAGACCGCGGGGCTTGAGATGGACATCTACGATGGGCTCTTCCGCCAGAACGGTGCCTGTGGCTACGTGCTGAAGCCTGACTTCCTGCGTCATGTCCAGAGCTCCTTCCACCCCGAGCGGCCCATCAGCCCTTTCAAAGCCCAGACCCTCCTAATCCAGGTACCACGGAGAGAGAAACTGCAGGAAGAACCTAGGGTAGCCAGGATGGAAACCGGCGGGGGGGCAGGGCAGAGGTGGCGGGGCCTGGCAGGAATGTAGTGGGTGAAGAATTCCTCAAGAGAGGCAGGATAGCCTGACTGTGAACCGCAGGGATTTGGGAGCCAGCCGCCTAGGTTCGAACCCATTCACTAGTCGTGTAACTCTGGGCAAGTTCCGGAACCTCGGGCTCCTCACCAGCAAAATGGGAGGAATGCCACTCCCCAGCCCACAGGGTTGCTGTGATCATGAGTCTAACAAGTGCCCACAACAATGCCTGGGGCAGGGTCGGGGCTGTAAAGGGTTTGCTGAACACACCTACTTTCAAACCTCGTGCAATTTCTACTTGGATGCATCTTAAATTGCAGCTAGGTTACGAGAAGAGAATATATTACTCAAAGCCAGAAGCTATAGCGCCAGGTCCTGAGACACCAGCC